ATAGATTTTCGAGGGCCACCCTTCTAGGTGGAACTTTCTAACTTCTTGTAGTGTTGGGTCTCGAAGCGTTTCTTCCCTGACTTCATCTGACGACACTGGAGTGTTTCGAATGGCATCTGCCACTATACTTCGTATTTCTGGGTCTACTGCTGTGGAGGCAATGATTATATCCTCTGGTCCAGGATGTTGAACTCCAATTAATCGGGAGAGAGCGTCAGCTTGACCGATAGTATTTGTTGACTAATACTTGATATTAAAATCATAACTCAGGAGCATTGTTGCCCAGCGCTGTAGTCTATTAGCCGTATAGACAGGGATTCCTTTCTTAGAACCAAAGATTGCAATCAAAGGTTTGTGATCTGTCAGTAGAGTAAATGTACTACCATAGAGCATTTTATGAAATCTTTTGACTGCGAAAATGATTGCAAGAGCTTCCTTTTCAATTTGGCTGTACTTTCGCTCGGCTGGAGTAAGTGATCTAGCAGCATGGGCAATTGTCTTCTCTGATTTATCCGGAAACACGTGAGATATCACTGCTCCAACTCCATGACTAGAGGCATCAGATGCAACAACAATTTCCAAGCTGGGATCGAAGTGCGTCAAAAGAATCTTTGAGCTGAGCATTGATTTGACTCTGTCAAAAGATGCTTGACATTCTGCTGACCACTGCCAAGGTTTATCTTTCGATAGTAATTCATTTAGGGGACCTCTCACTCGGTGCATTTCAGGCAAGAATGTGCTGTAATGACTGATTAACCCCAAGAAGGATCTTAATGAAGAAACATCAGTTGGTGCAGGCATCTTCTGAATGGCTTCGATGTTGGCAGGGTCTGGTCGGCGACCGTTCTTATCTAAGATAAAACCAAGGTATTTGATCGAATGCATGAAGAAGATTCATTTTTCCTCACGTAGTCGGAAACCATACTCCAACACTCGGTTAAGGACTTGGTGTAGTCGATCAGAAAGTTCACTGTCAGTTGAACCCATAACTATGATATCATCTAGATAAGCTGCTGTACCAGGTATACCTGTTAGCATCGTATCCATTATTTGCTGAAAGATGGCGGGTGCGGTCTTGATGCCAAATGGTAGACGGGTGTATTGAAATAACCCTCGATGAGTGTTAATGGTCAGAAGCTCTCTACTATCTTCATCTACTTCCACTTGGAGATAAGCATCGGAGAAGTCTATTTTCGTGAAACATGTCCCACCATTAAGCTTGGCAAACAGGTCTTCCGGAACTGGTAAGGGATATTGATATACATCTAACGCAGCATTTAAACCGGTCGAGAAATCGGCACATATGCGTATAGTCCCATTGGCCTTCTTAATCACTACAATCGGTGCGGCCCATGCAGAGTAGTTAACTGGTCGGATTACACCAGCCTGCTGCAAGCGATTAAGTTCCTGGTCGACTAGCTCAAGAGCAGCATATGGCACAGGACGTCTCGGGCGAAAAATAGGTATGGCATCTGGTTTCACTGGTAAGTGCGCTTTCATCTTGGTACAGTGGCCAAGGCTATTCTGAAAAACAGAGGCAAACTTTCTTTTCAGTTTTTCTAGTAACCGTTCACCTGTCTTCTTTGGAAGTAATGGGGTGTCCAATGATGAACACGATACGTTACAGACACTGTTAATTGGTATATCCATTATTCCAAGTTTGTCTAGCATATCTAGACCAAGAAGATCAAGGTTCGGCCGTTCTGTTAGGTAACATATTCCTGTACAGTTAGTTCCATTGAAGGAAAATTCACACTGTAATTCACCAACCAGTTTTAGCACACCACCTGATGTGTTTTTAGCCGTTTTCTTAGATGGCTTCATTGGCGGTTTACCCAGCAAGTTATACGTTTCTCTAGACACTAACGTGATATCTGATGCCGTGTCAATTTGAAGACGAGCTGATATGCCGTTTATCTGGATGGTAACATACTTTCTCCGAATGTCATAGTTTGTTTGAAAAGCAGCTACCAGAGAAAGAGATTTAGACTCGGCTGATTTCACATGTCGAGGACGTTTATGCTTCTTCTTAGGCTGAGACGTACGCTTCGGTGGACAATGACCTTCTTTATGTCCACGTTTGTTGCACTCCTGACATTTATGCTTCTTGAATGGACAGAATCGTGCATAATGCCAATCACCGCATAACCAGCATGCAGTCCTTGGTTTGTTACGAGTTGTTACCGGCTTCTGAACTTTTAACCTAGTAATAGTATTTACACTACCGCAGGTTAATTTAGGATTTACCTGTTCAATCAACTCGTTGTCGTGTCTGATGCTTTGTAGACGCTTACACTCATCTGTCAATGTTCTGAGTGTGACGTTTGGGTCTTGATCCAGTCGAGCTAAAAGTCTCGTCCTGATCTCAGCATCTTGTGGTGACTGAAGAGCTTTGATGAATATTAAGCATTTAAATTGGTCATCAGTCAACGAGCGTAACTTGAAACGTTCTTATTCTCTGTTGACAATGTCTGCTAAAACACCATATCCATCGGCTTCGCGTTTCACCAAATTTAGACACCGATATCGAATATTAAACAATGAGGATGACACACCGAATATCTCTGACAATTGAGTTGCCGTCTCCTTGAAACTGAGCTCTCGAGGTAACTTTGGCAATATATGGTCAGCAAAACGTGCATGTTCATTGCCTCCCAACTTACGTACCAACAATCGAGTCTTCCACGCATCGTCTTGGTTACAGAATTCTGTTCTAAATGTATCTTCCCAACGTTTGAACCACGTGAGAAAAGTATTTCCACTTTCGGGATCATAGATGAATTCTGGGATGCTGCTAGCAACTGCATCACAAGACGTACTTAAAATAGCATGTGAACCCGAGCTGTGAATGTTGAGCTGTTGAGTCAGGGTCTCTAACAACCGCATTTGTGCATCAAGTTGTGCTTGCTGTTGTTGTAGTATTCGGTTAAGCTGGTCATCTGATATGGGCATCTTGAATTTGTTTTCCTTTTTCCCCGTCGCCACTGTTATAACTGTTTTCTTACGGTTAATGACCCAGCTACTCCTATTGCTTAGTATTCTCGGACACCCATTCACTCGACAAGTCCCCAAATCAAAACACGGTTGAACAGGAAAGAGATTATATTCCAAATAGCAAGTCAGAAGCATAATAGGGAAAAACGTCAGTATATTTATAGTTTTTTACATAAGAAGATTTCAGAATATTCTCCGACTATCGACGGGTGCTGATTGGATAAGAATCAGCCAATCAGCGTGCAGCAAAGCAATCATGCATTGAGCATGCTTTAGTCTAATCTATGTCCCGCTAACAAGTATATATCACCAGTTGAAAGTAAAATGCCTGGTGACAGAAGGTTAATGAGTTTAAAGAAATGAGAACGAGGACAGACAATGATTGATGTGGAAACAATCAAGTCTGAGACGATTGATTGGCATTTTTCAAACGAACACTTTACCGCATGGTTGCTAGATTTTAAAAAAAGATTTTGTAATCTTGTGTTCAAGTACATTTGGTTGTCTCCTCCTGTATTCTTGTTCATTACAATAGTAGCAAGCGATAAAATGAGGGAGAAAATTTTTGAATCATCTAGACCCATTGTCATTCCAACTTCATTGAATCACTATGATAAATATACAATCGAACACAGCATTTAGTCTTTGAGAAATCATTTTCTCAGTCTCAAAACATTTTTTAAATTTAACTATTTTTGTATTGAATTTAATTTGTATTGCTTGTTTGTATCTTCCCGTTCTAGTTTACGATTGCAATTGATCAGTCTCTTATTGGTATATGTGCATTCTGTGCGGACTGCCTCGATAATGCCTTAAGTCATATGCATTATAAGTAAAGATAGATGGTGGCTATCAGTAGAATCCTTGACATGCATTTCGTCCTATTTGTGACTCGTCGGCTGCACGTACCAGGGATCTAGGTACATCCATCCGACATGTCTCACATGAGACTCACATACAGTAAATACATTATTCGTAAAATATTAATCGATTTTCTCAAACTTGACTATTCCTTTTGCAAATATCAGTCAATCGGCTCAGACTTCAATATTCCTGCATTTCCATACGAATTACATTCTGCTTTCATTCTTCCCTTCTCGATCTTCTCAATCTTCTGCTGTCAGACACTCTATTCCTGACTCCCGGTATATACTACTTATGTCGATATAAGCAGCATACAGCACATTACTTGATAACTGATAGGCACAATACAGTTCAATGGTAATCATGGTTAATATCGAAATTCATCGTAAGTATTACTTAATTTAATGAAATAATTTATTCATAGATGTGTCCAACTCATTAACATGAAAATATCAATGGTCTTACCATCACTTTTGTTTTATAAGTAAACGTAATTTTATATTTAGTACAGTGAGATTCCTCAATATTAAAGTCAAGATAGTTCTACTGTACGGAGCTAAATACTGCTACAACCATCATCGAAAACATAAAGTATTTCAAAACAATTGTCTACTCGTGATACTCAATATCCGTTGACCGGATACTTTCACTAACAGCCTACTATGGGATAGAACAAACCAATTTCTATTTGAAGAGGAAATTACGAAAAGACTTTGGAAGTGGACTAGATACACTTTGAGGAACTCAACAAACTTCATCATGAGGGAGGCAAAAACTTGAAATTCCTGATGCAAAAGGAGAAGAGGAAGGCCGAATAGTATACTATGTCCGGAATTCGAAGCAGACACGAAAAAGATGAATAACAACTGGAAATGGTTGCTTAGGAAAGAGTTGGATGGAGAATGTTGGTGGGCGACTTATGCTTATCCACGAAGTGCAACAGTAAGTAGGTAGTACGGTTTTACTTACTTCTTCATAAAGCAATAAATAAATGTGGTACCATTTCTAATTTGTCGCTCAAGTTTAAGAGTTGTTATTTTAAATCCGATTCGTGGCTTAGTCAAGTGAATAATTTTATGAATTTGAATTTCTTCTGAGCCTGGTTACATTTGTCAATGGATTTGAAGAAGAAAGAAACAAGAAATACACTCTAATGAATATTTATTTAACCAAACACAATATATTCAACATAATGTGACAAGGATTTCCTTTCACAAAACAAATACCACACAAACTACGATGCCTCTAGATCATCGATATCACATTTTAGATTTAAATGAAATTCTGGCATATTTTCTATGGATCTAAATTGATTGAATGCAGAGTTCGACGAAACTATGAACATAAACAAAACAGTAAACAATAAATGGGATGTTGTGCTTTTCAGAAATAGACCATGTTTTCACTGTTGAATTCACAAGTCGAACTAAGCTAGACAAACAGTTAAAACCTGGAGCATTGGATGATCGTTTCGTTCTAGTGAGCGACTCCTCAGAAGTGCGGATCCACGATCCCGGAAGCGAGGACTCGAAGCCAGGTCCTTCGGTTTCGCGGGCTAACTCACAAACTCTAGATCACTGAGTCGGCATCCAATTGTGTTAACATCTTACCTAAACCAATACACGGTATTTCACAACCCTTCACCCATTGTTTGAGGTGGAAAAATGTCTCACATTCGACACAGATTTGACTTCACTTCGATCGGCTCGTTAATTCAATGTTGAAAATACTATAATTTACACAAATTATTATGCTGATAAAAACTGGTTTTGTAAAATTACGAATCAAAGCACAATTCAAGAACTATTTAGCAACTAATATGGAGTGGATAATCATTTGTGGTATTTCAGTAGAATACAACGAATGACTGAAGCCGAGTTATTAATTCGCATAGTGACTGAGAAGATTTGAATAAATTTTGTAAATAGATCTAAGACGAAACACAAAGGATCAAGGCATCTTATCAGAACTGTGGTCGTTATCATGGATCCAAATACTAGTGGATACATGAGATCTAAATGTCATGGGTTCAGTCTTATATTTACTGAAGTGTTCAATGATTTTAATAGATATTAAACTATAATAAAACCGGTATCTACTATATCTTGATTTAAAATGATCAATTTCTGCTACATATACTCTTATGAAATTGGTTATTGCATAAAATCTATACCAACTATGGTGCAAACAGAAAGCGTGTGAAAGATCTTTACAGACAGTCTAAACATTTCACCGAAATACTGTTGACAAACAGTGACTTGTTGAATTCAACCATTTCAGATGATGATAGTACAATATTGCAAATAAACGGAGATAAGATCAACAAAAGTTCACTTCAATGTTGACTGGCAACATACTTATCAAGAACATAAACGGTTGTATATCCAGTTATGCATTAAATTGATAAATGAGCCTACCTAAAGAGAATCGAAAAAAACAAACAATATTGCTCTCCTGTGTCTCCATCGATTACAAACAATTCAACTGCTTCTGTCAGCCCATAATAATTATCCTCTGTTCCTATTCTATTCTATTCGATGTTTCCAGTTTTCTTCTGATATACCTTTCATTAGTGTTTGGTGTTATATACTACTTATATTCGTAGACACAAGTAACTAAAATCACAATGTGATTTTAAAATATCATTTTATCGAGACTGGAAGCTCCATTACTATTACTCTAACACTGTCAAATATGGCTTATGAAATGCAAGATTTGAGTAGATCTTGAGCAATTCATAATAGGTAAGAATTAAGTTATGGGAAGGGTACTAAGTACAAATGGCAAGTCGATAGGTATGGCATCAAATCTTCATTGATTGGGATAGTTCAGGAATGTATTAGTTATACCAAGGAGTAGCCCACAGAAAAATGAAAAACTGGTTACTTTAGGAGAAGGTGAGCTCAACGATAGGGTTGAGAAGACCTTAACGCAATTACTGCACATTAAATCAGTGAATCGTGATGTTAATCATATTGGCAGGTGCAAACCTATTGATTAGAATTCATACAATAGTTGTAATGCAGGTGATATAAATCAGTAATTTATTAAATAAAAGTATGAAAAATGGCTAAGGTTATGAACTGAATTAAGATCTAGGATTAGGAGTTTGAAAGAACAAGGATTGTAAACACCTAAATGAACACTTAGCCAGTTAGTTCTTTGATTCTAACTACCATGAAGCTTATCATTACAGTAAAGCAATTCGGAAATCGTATTCCCTATTACTCAGTCTTCTTGTTTGCCAGTAATCAGTTTTTGAGTCCCCATTTGGCCCTTAATATAACTAGTAGTGGAATCCAGGATGTGTTTGCTTCATTTTCGGCACTTGTCGGCTGGATGCACTTCATTTCCAATGTTGATGTTAATCTTGAAACTCGAATCTAATACATATCACTTCAGAGACCAACAAATTTTATATCAATTTACTGAGTCCGACAGCCTACTGGCATACTCACTGGGTATAAAATTATGTGAACGTAATTCTTTGGTAATTCTATGAACTGAGAATGGTTAGCCTTTGTTGGGGACATTTTGTTCTCTGAACTGAATGATTCATTTGGGAAGCTTCCATCGTTCTTCTGAACAACTTCATAAGGACAAACTTCAGGTAAAAATTATGTATTCGAATTTCTCCGCGTATGACTGACGGCTTGCTCTGTCCACCTTGATCCTGGTTAGTCAGTACTAATCTTTAACCTATCATGAGATGTTATTTGGCTTTTCTTCATTTGTCAGTTTATCATTTGATTTACATAAGATTGATTCAAGTAATTTTGCCGGTTTATGTGCTACACTTATGCTAAAGGGCCTTAATAATCTTGTTGATGTTGTTGAGATGAAAAATGAAAGCTCGAGGATTAAATCATCCATCACAGAGAAAAAAACAGAATGAAGATCATTCACTTCAGCTAAAACTCTTTACCATCTCTTGATTAGCCTCTATTAGTTAATGTGCATCGTAAGAGGAACGCTTAGATATCGCCTTTCAATTACTTTTATAACAGAACGAATATTCGCAAAGTTGAAACTCTCGGAGTTAATATTCGAATCATAATTATTTGTACTTTTGTTGTATAATTAGTAAATAACGTTATCACAGAATTTCTGACCTCCCCTGTTGTAAACCTTCATGGGACCCATTGACCATTGTGATACCTTACACCTTCCCCTCATTATTGCTAACTAGTTATATACTGTTTGTTCCACACTATTCTACTTATATTATTATTAGATTTAAAATGAGTTTTCTTATTCGGTGTTTTGGGTGATCAAACACTTCAAATATATTATTGTATGAGTCTTGAGTCATGATCGAGTTAGGTACAACAGAGAGTTAATCTGACTCCTATGGTCATCTTATTATCGACTACTGGGTTGAAAGGGACTGATAATTGTTTAGGCATTGATTACTGTTCTTTGATCAGTGTGTAAATTTTTCAAATAGCTTACCAGTTCAACTGGCGATACAGTGCGTACAATCAGTTAGAATTTCTAGTCACAGCACATCAACCTTTCTCAAAACATAACGGTTACAAGTCTTGAAGGTGCTTCCCGACTGACTGGTTGTAGTTCTTAATATAAACAACAGAAAAATACAAATTCTCGAATATATACCCGAAGAAACTAAAAACATGAAAGTTTGGATGATACATAACTCAAGATTTCCCGAACAGTTTGTGCTACATTACCTAACATTACTAAACATTGATTCGGAATATTCTGCACACTTCAAACAAGTAATCATTGAGTCTTTAACACTATTATACAGTTCAATCTTTACATATAAGATCAAATACTTACTTGAGTTAGGTTTCTGCGAACAAACACCTTGCTTCAAAAGAAAACGCTCATCTTTATTCATTTGATTAAAATATTTTGGACGATATGTATTTTCTTCATTGTTTTGCTGTTCCATACCTGTTCGCTTCATTTCTATTATTCTTTTGAAAATTCTATAACCCAATTCACTATTGAATGGATAAAATGATTTTCTATCATGATCTTGAGAAATATTGGATTGGTAACCACTTGGTGGTAATTTGTTTGGATGCCACCACTTTTCTTCTTCAGACATACTACTTTTCATCTGGGGTAAGAAAGAAACAAAAGAGAAATGAGATAATTCGCCATATGGGCCGGTACAGGCTGTCGTGTTAATAATTGTTGGCAATATCTTATACAGTGATACTAGGTTCAAACTTCACATGACGCGCCCGTGTTGCCAAGCTCCGTTCGTTCTCAAACTATCTAGCTCAGGAAACTCTATCTAAACTAACTCATCCAAATGAGCTGCATTATACTCTCTACACTGATCAATTAGTAGTTATTCTAAAGTTATTGTCGATAACATATGTAATTAATTTTTGGTGTTCTGTAGCTGGAGACAGTTAGGAAGAATTTCTAGGCTTTGGTTTCAAACGAGTCAGTACTCACCAGCAAGCAGAATCTGCTGCCTTGATGGAACACTGCCCCAAGTACGATCTTAACCCTCACACCAAAGATTTCAGATTGTGTGCACTATATTTAGAGTTCAGGTGTCAACATCAAGTCACCTGAACTGGTCTTCACACTGGAACTTCGTCGAAAGAACTGGACAACCGTTTAGGTCCACGCAAACATGATATTGATAACTATTTAGTGATCGTAAATTATGCTACTACTACTAATTAGTATACATTCTCAAGTAAAACAAAAGTGTATCAGTATATTTTTAGTCATAAACGAATGAATAGAAAACTTCCATTTCTGACGTTTCGTAACTTCGTATAAGCCACCTCTTCAGGGCAAATAAATGACCGAATTGGATAGAATCACTCTATTCATCAGGATATAACAAACAATATATTTATTATGAACTCTCTACCCAATACTCAATTTATTTCAAACGATCAGGTCTAACCTTGGCATTGATACATATAAGAAGTGAATCAGCTTTGAAATCCCTGGTGACGTTGGCTTCCATGAAAAACTATAAATTACAAGACTTATTCGTCGTAACACACTACCGTGTTTACTTCAAGCTATCATTAAACGTCTATGGTTTATCTAGGAATTTATTTTTATTGCACTAAAAGCTTCATGAATATTGAAGGTTCCAATAGATATCTTTGGTTAAGATCAATTAGGAATTAAAAACGTACCAAATAGATCATTCTTAATCGTACACACATGTTGATTGCTCTCATTGGATATGTGTCAGTATCCCTAACTTTCAACATCCCTATACCTTGACAATATAAATTTTCCATGAGAAACTAATCAATTTTTCATTGCCATTTCAACAGTTATTCAAGTTTATCTTAATCCGTTTGTCTTTATAATGTCGGTTTTAATAGGATACACATCAAAACCCATTATTGCGTGCAAACGTCCGACGGTAGCTCATTTAAACTTGGTTAGTTTAATTCTACCTAAAATCACTAAATTTACAGCTTGTAGAACCTGACATTTTCACCCACATACAACCGAATGTTAGTACTGCATATATTCGGAAACAAAGCAATCGAAGTACGATAAATGTATCGGAAATAACGATACAAATGACAGCGATTTATTCTATTAAATAAGAGGAACAAGTCTTTGAAAATAGTGGTTAATTTATAGTTTCGATTCTGGGACAGTGTACCTCCTTCACCCGGACATATGCACCTTTCGTCAGCCAGTCATAAGTAGGAAACAACCCGGCACATGTAAACATCAGTTCAAGTTTTCATATCACATTAGCACCAGGTGAAAAAACCAGTGAAAATGAAATAGTAGCAGAGTTGGTGAGAGGAATTGCGATAATAAAAATTAAAGATCGATAGTGCGATTCGAGTTAGTGGACTGAAATTTCCTTTACGTAATCTAGGAACTTAGGATTTCAGAAAGACAAAGAATGAATGTATTCGAAATTGTCAGAACGAATTACAAGGTAGTGAATAGAGTGACATTATAAAAGATTAAGTATTGAAGATATGACTCAAGAAAGTATAAGTTAGTAAGATAAAAAGATTATGTGGGACCTAAAAACCTAAAATCTGAGAACGTGAATGCACGTGCGCGATTGTAAGGCATTCTGAGACGTGTTACCCAACGTCTTTGATAATTGGTTGTGATAATCACGTGGATCTAACAGAGCTCACCACAGGAGAGTTGTTGCATCTTCCAACCACATCTAAACATATTAGGTAGCCAGTAGTTGGCAGGAAATCCTGTACCTACCTCTCGTGCTAGTTGTCACTTACCAACAATCTAGAGGCAAGTGATATTCTAGTCAGCATAGCTTACTTCCGTAGTCTGAGGCATTAACCGCTTCACTATTCTGGAGGGACTAACCTACGAGGGAACGAGAACACTAGCGTTTTTCGATCACTCAGTATTGACTAATGTGTCATAGATTTCCCATCTCTCTAGAGAGTTTCCCATAAGACTACTTCCAACCAACTAACATGATAACAACGTGCATATGATCCTAAATCCCCTAGACGAGTGATTATATTGCCGCACGTTCGATCGAATATGACCATTTAGATTAAATGACTAGATGAACATGACTTTGGTCACTAACCAGTGATTAATCAATTGTAACAAATAAGTTGAAACAACTCTAACTGTAAACAGAACGCGTAAACTCAGAACAAGTACTAAAACAAGCGTAAAACAACCAACATATGTTTTATTTACAAGAAAAAATTTTTAAAAAAAACAGATAAAAGTAGACATTTTACAAATTATATTTTGTATTTGTCAGAAATGACTATATCATTCGAGCTTCTTCAAGTGCAGAACCATGTGGATCAGATCCAGTTGTTGTTGATGGTGGTGGTGGACCAAGTGGACGTCGCCCAGATGACCAACCACCTAAAGAACCTGGAGTATATTCAACAATTGCACAATCCACATAATCACCAATCTGAAGAAAAAGTAATAACAACTAGAGTATAATTACGTTAATCAAAATATGAACAGTAGTATACTATATCCAATGAATAATTCTGATGAATTGTTAGATTATTGATCTCAATCACCAAGTAAATGTTTTTAGATTCAGCATAGAGCGATAAATCAACATGAGTTTAATTACTGACAACATCGTTCGAGTGGAGCAGGATTCATAAAGATGACATAATTAATACAACTGACAATCCAGTGTTTTCAATTGATCAGGGATTTCCCATGAATTAAAAAGTGTTCTAATCTGAAGTCATTGATTTTATTCTTTAGAATAAACTGTAAAACATGATGTACTATCTTCATAATATCCTAAAATAACAATTACCATGGTATATACAAATCACCAATTTCAACAGGTAAATTACAGAAATCTATTAGGTAATCGTCAACAGAGGAGTTATTTCACCACATCAAGTGTCAGGCAAATACCATCAGTGATAATGAATGAAAGTTATAGAATATTGTGAATTAAATGAAGTTGGGAATTGTTGTGAACGGGGAAATAAGAAGCCCAGACAACTACGAAAGCTATTTCCTTGGGATGTTATTTCATTTTATTCAAGGCTTGTAAAATACTGACATTTATTTTTGTCTCTATTTTATTCTACATAACATGAGCTTGCGTTCTATGTAACATTTACTGCCATACCCTTTTTTTTGTTCCAAAACTATTGTAATTTAAACATAATATTTTGCATCTTATTTTCTACCCTAATTCCCAGTTTCGGGCATTATTGTATTTTTCCAAATCATCGTACGTCGTGGTCAGGGATATTCACTTATTTATTCATGTACATTTTTGCATTAAACCGAATTTAGAGTGTTCCAACTGTCTTGTCTTTTCTCACTTGCGTGCTTGCCAACCAATCAGGTTCTAGAATAGTTCTGTCTCTACCCCATCTCGAACTCACGCGTACCAGACTCAAGGTTAAGCCGATCAGTCTATCGCGCCAAGGTTATAATCTAGACTAGACAGATCAAGGTCAAGTCATAGCAAAGTATCGACGGGATAAAAGGGACTCAAGGTCATAACAGGAATGTAAACCATTGGATGTCAACTTGGTCAACTGTAGGTTAAGAAATCAGCACAAAGCTTAAATTGTTGATAAGATTGTGAATGGTATAATGCTCATCAGTGCTTCCTTGTCTTGAATGTTTGTTTAACTGAAGTCGTTCCATTATGCAGAACTTAGAAAGATGAGTTATTACATAACTAGAAAAGTCCAATTCAATGGGGTTAATAATAATAAATAATAAGATTATTCCAGAATAGTAATGTTACCTAAACGAGAATAGCTTGACCTTGTTTTCAGTATTTGTTCTTTCTAAATTGTAAGTACCAAGTAGTGTAGTGAACAAGAACACGGGTGGGGACAATCGATTGTATTTAGCACAAAGATTACAGACTATCTCAATAAAATGTGAATACCATAAAGTCAATCGTCAATTTGCAAAATATCATTCCATCATATCAAACTGTACTGTTCCCGTTGCAAACACTAATCCATTGTCTCCCATTCCATTGTACATGCGTTTTCTTACAATTCCATTGTGCTCTTGCTCTTCCTTTCTTGATCTTCGCCATCTTCTGCTGCCGGACCTTACGTTTATTTAACGCACGTTATATACTACTTATATGAATATAAGTAGCTCACACCACAGTAGTACATATCACTTACATTCAGGTATAGAGATTTTATTGAACGTAACTAGAATCATTTATTACAATCTTTATTTAATATTGACTTTGTAAATATGTAAATAAAAAAAGATTAATGATCTCATTTTATAATTGATTTCATGAACATTTCATATAGTATATAATCCAATGTCACCGAAGTTATTTAACAAAACAACTAATCTACACATTCATTCTACTTTGAATGGATTCTCAAGAAAGGAAAGAATTTGAATCTATATTGAAATATTGATGTGTTGTTAGTAAAAGTAAGATGTGATTGGCCACTGTCAGTAAACAGAAAGATGCTCAATGTACTTACTATTATTGATTTCTATTCTGAACATACAGAGTGTTCACTATTTGTAATTGTGTTAGATAAAGTAATGTCTAGTTTTCATTCTGCTTCTCTATATTTAGTTGTGAATCATGAACGTAGTGTAAAATCATCCAGTCTGCATATAGCGTATCGATCGAATACCTTATTTAGTGGTAGTAAGGTGTTTCAGCCATGTTCAGGATAGTTAAGCCTTATTTGGATGTAGGCAATCGGCTTTTCTGGAAATGGTTTCCGTTTCGCAAGGCTTAAAAACCCACCGCGTGGATTTTTTTTGTGAGTAAATCGTTACTCACAGGTGTTGGGGTGCGGGCATCGCACCAAGGGCAACTATAATCTACTTGAATAGAGGTAACACATACCTTTTTTACTTATGCGTCCCTAGCATACACATAGATATACTTATCCTGTGAGCAAATAAACGTTACAAACACGTCGGTAACACAGCAACGAAAGCCTATATTAATTTAAGGAAACATGTAGTATAACTAGTCCTTAAATAAGAACTGTAAAAGAATATAGTAGAGTATATAAGCCTGATACATGGAAGATTTCACTGTTTTAGAAGCTGATTCATAGATGACAGATAATTTATTACACAACTGTTACTTTGACATGTAGAGATTGGGGTTTACGATGTATTATGTGCAGTGATCTTGTAATTAATGCACATTATTGTGAGTTTTGAATAATAAAATATCGAGAGTAAATCAACCGGGCGTATTCGTATGCTGACTGAAACAGATAGTTTTGTGATTACCAGTGTCAGTGTACTTGGACGAAAAGACAACGGGAGCGACTCAATAAATTAATAACCGTATCAAGTGGCCATATCGAAGGGAAATCATATCACATTTGAGCCTAAATGTGTGAAGGAAGAGGCGAAATTATTTGCAGCCTGAACCGAAGAGGTTAAAAGCTGATACCATGATAGTTGCGAAAATCAAATGACATTTATAACTAACAGGTCATTAGGACATAAACTAGCTAGTGTAAACCTTAAAAAAAACAACTGGATAATCTAATTACCTGGAATTTTTTCGACAACAGAGTTACTGATGAGTCGTCAATCAAATTAGAAGGTCTCTGAATATTATTATTACGATTTGTTGTTGCATCAGCAGAATTATTATCAAATTCACAAGAGTTTAATCCATAACCAGTAATAACAACACCTAATTGACGACGTCCATAAGTACCACGACTATCCGGATAGACTATTGCAAAATGCATACGTGTACCACGACGTCTAGCTATGGGCACAACATTACGTACTTCATCAGCTAATTCTGCAAGCGTTGCGTCAATCCTAAAAAACGTAGTAAAAGAAAGGCATATCATTATATATATATATATATATATATATATATATATATATATATATATATACCGAACTCCTAACATCTAACTGGTCATCATTCAAAATTTATCGTCACAATAGATCAAGGTATAAGAAAAGGAAACTTGTTGAAATACTTTATGCTGAGAATTCTATGTTGTACCAAAAATATAATGTTGAATAAAGCTTCTAATAATAATAATAATAATAATAATAATAATAATAATAATAATAATAATAATAATAATAATAATAATTAGATCAACTAAATGGTGTACAGCATGATATCGTAATGAACTATGAAGCACATAGATATTGGTAAAAGGAGGTGCGAAATACATATGTGCTACGCAAATCTCATTCAATATGTGTGAGGGCTGTGATACTTCCCAGGTCCCCAAACCGAAGCAAATGGTTTTCTTAAGGGTCACAACCAGAGCCTCCGATCTGAAGATCTGATCCACAAGGCAGTTGAGCAACGTCAGGAGATGCAATCCCATGGTAGCCGGTGGCCAACGATTGGTTCGTACGCCATTTGTTCCCTCAGGATACTGGAGCGCATTTGCCCCATTGGATTGGAATCAGGGTTTTCCAACTCCCCTAGGTGGACTCTCCATGTCCATCAACCCGGTTAAAGCGCCAGACATTCGCTCTTCGTCCTTTCACATGTTGCACGCCAAAGGTGAATTGGGACTTCAAACAAAACGAACTTACGAAATCACTGACCGCTGGTCGCAATTATCCAGAGCAGTACAGAGTTGAAACAACATGGTTCACAATGGGAAATTCGTGTATTATAACTGTACTACTCACAAGTAGATAGCTTTTTATCGCAGTATTTCCTGGTGGCTCTTGCATTTAATTGGATCGTAAATTAACAGCTCGCTAATAACCTAGATGGAATGTGATTAGCAACGAAATTCAGGATCTGTTTTGTCCTATTTTGGGATTTTAAGCTGCATGCATATCCATTTAAATGTTGATGATGTTCATACGAGGACTCAAAGGTAGTACTTTGAGCTCAAAACACCAAACGTGTCCCTCGCTGATCTTTGTGTCATTACAAGTAAGGTTTAAATTACCTCGTCTATGGTAGTGAGACCTGAGTTTCGACCAGTCTTTTTTAGTGAATCTGAACTCTGTGCGGATTGTGTCGATATAACCACTGCCAGACACAACCGATATATTCACCATAAGTTATTTATTTATTCAAACATAAACATTGGTACAAGCGGGCACCAAATATATATGCCACACTTCACCATGCGATTTGTGAGGGCTGGATTGCTGTCCGGGCGCCAAAACGAAATGGATGGTTTTCTTAGGGGGATACACCCCGAGCCTTTGACCTGAAGGTCTAGTCCACAAGGCAGTAAAACGTAAGGAGATGAAGTCCCATAGTAGCCGGTGATCAACAATTGCTTTATATGCCATTTTTCCCTCAGGAGCCCATATGAACAGTTGGTTTTGAATTACAGTATTCCAATTTCCCTAGGTGGATCCTCCACATCCATCAACCAGGTTAAGGCACTGGATATTCGCTTTTGTCCTGTCAATTTTGTAAACAACATTCCTGCCACGAGAAGGCATTGAGTAGGACTTCTCTGACAGTAGCTATATACGCGCGGCGATATGAGAGCATTTCGAGGATGAGTGCACTCTCCCCACCATTAGCAGTACCAAGGCACCCGGGGGGCAATAAGAATGATATCAAGGCAATCTGTCTAAGATAACAGCATGTCAACAAAGGCTAATCAAACTTTAGTCCTTCATACTGACGGGATAACTTAGACATTGATAATAATATATATTAGGAAGCCAGAGGAATATTTGGAACTTATTCGATAGCATGTGTGTCATACTAACGAATCTAATGCACAATCTAGCACAACAGAGAGTATTATATTAAGGATATATCTGTGACTACTGTGAGTACAGTGCAAGTTTTTACATGACTAAGTAAAAATACAAACTAGCTCATTAAGGGTATTACTCACGGAAACAAAAAATCAAAAGACCGATTCCATTTGAACGGACATGAGTCAATTTAACCTTGGTGCACTATACATTATTTAACTGCTATTGTGATGTGTGCTACGGACATATAGAAGTAGTATGTATAGGTAATTGAAAATAGGATTCTTACGGAAAGAAGAGGAAAATGAGAAGAGAATATAAAACAGAAAGCAATTGAAATCACAACAGGAAAGGAAGAACGGTGGAGTTTGGAGAGACGACTCAAAGATGTGCAAATAATGCATTACTCCTGTATTTTACAAATGCAGTGTGTGAGGTTCCATGATACAATTATTTGGTTCACCTTAACCAAGGCTTCGTTCATTAAACTATCATTTGATGAAAATTGCAATTTCTTTGATCTGTAAAATAAACGACCGAAATTACATCACACAAACTTTGATTCTAAAGAAATCAAGGGTGATTCGGTCACCGAATTCGATCACAAACCCTCTCAACCTATGAAACATGGTGTACCCCACCTTCTAGGATCACCTACTGTCTCCAAAATTGGAAGTGGTGGTGCTGATAGCAACACTGAGGCGATGCAGCGTGAAACGATGGCGATGCTTGAATTGCGAGGACTTTTATGGATGCTGTTCTAAATATTAAAAATGGACACAGGAGGAAGGCTAGTGGACTGCTAGATATAAAAAATTTAGTTTGGAGGAGGAAGACAGTTGTTGCATCCTAGATTCTACACAGAAAACGTTTCCACGACTTTATTTTGTGTACGATTGTTAAACAAGCTAAACATACACACTGAGCATAAAATCGAATTAGTTTAAATCAAACAACTTACCATGTATTGAATTGTATCTCATTTTCCGGTGTACGACGTTTATTATAATCTGACAATGAATAATGACGTGCGTTTGTGGAATAAAATAAACGAAGCAGCATAGGACAAGTATTCTCCCGGTCGATTCCACTTGGAGCAGTGATTGGTACAGGACGGTTTTTGAATAGAATAGGCCGTGGCATCAGTTTCTTTGATCGTTCATCTCTTAAACGCCGTTTATTATCATCAATATTCGATCGTGAATAATCATTAGGTTTTGATTTTGACTGTTTTTCTGTATAATCTTCTACTTCCTCTTTTGTATCTTGTAAAGGACGACGTACAATAATACGTCTAGTTTCTTCACTTGGCTGTATCTCTACACCACTAGTAGGTCCACTTGTAGCAAGATGTACAGAAGAAAACAACGCTGGGGAACGACTTCTACTTCGACGATCTAAACGTTTACGATCAACACCACCTCTTCTTATTTCATCATCATCATCATCAGCAGTATCAATTGGAAGTGGTGGTTTTTGCCATCTGGATAATGGTGAAACGGGTCGAACAAGACTTCGAAGATTGGTATTTCTTCCGTTTTCCATTGAGAAAATATAGATGTTTTCTATTTTGAAATAATAATTCAATTAGAAATAAACTTTGAGAATTTAAACTGAATAAAGTAGGGACGAATAGTGATTAGACTCCAAAATATTCGTACAGTTGAAACATTAACGATTCAAACATTTGAGTAGGCCACCACGAAACTATGCTCACCCTTATTCAAGATCAGTGGTCAAATATTCAAAAATCTATGAATTTCTTTTATTGCAGTTATAAAAAACAACATACAAAGACAAACAAACAATTGACCACTCAAAGTAATCCACAGTGCTATCAGACGTATGACAGCAGTCGTCACTTTCCGGATACCCACACTATCGAAAGATACTTTGTCCTTAGACACCTTGAAAAGAAACTGGACTGGTAGTAATCTCGCCGACATGCGAATATGATCACAAAGACCAAGAACAACTGCTTCAGGTCGGTGGTCACATGTCCTTTTTGTGAGTACTATTCTCTGTTGGCCCTGTACTTACCGCCTGCGATGGAAATTCGCGGAGCGTCGTGGTGTGTTAATTTGAGGACTGATCTTTTTAAACCTTTTCCTACCATCTTTATAAGGCAATGTCAACTCAGATACTGGTCGTCTGAGGCAGAGATTTTACCTTCACCACACTCCAGTACAATCAGTAATGTATATCCACACCCCTCAGAATTTAATTTGCTGCTTTTAACCTTACCGCTCCAAAACAAATCATTCGAAACATAAATACTTGAAACAGTAATGATTGCTACGTGAACTTATCTCAATAAACTGAAAGAACTGGATATGTTTCTGTAAACATGAAGTCTGTTAGCGGGACATAGACTGGATTAAAGCATGCTCAATGCATGATTGCTTTAGCGCACGCTGATTGACTAATTCTTAACCAATCAGCACTAGCCGATACTTGGAGAATACTCTAGAACCTTCTCATGCCCCCAAATGCCCTGGTACGGCCGAGAGTGTGGAGAGTCCGCTCTCCTTCTTGAAATGCTCTCACATGGCCATGTGTATATAGCCTCTGCCAGGGAAGTCCTACTCACTGCCTTCTCGTGGCAGGGGTGTTGTTTACGAAAATCAGAGGACGAAAAGCGAATGTCCGGCGCTTTAACCGGATTGCAAGCCAATGGTGCACATGGGCTCCAGTATCCTGAGGGAACAAATGGCGTATGAACCAATCGTTGGTCACCAGCTACCATGGGACTGCATCTCCTTACGATGTTCCACTGCCTTGTGGATTAGACCTTCAGGTCGAAGGCTCCGGGTGTGGCTCCCTAAGAAAACCACCTGCTACGGTTTGGGGACCTGGGCAGTATCACAGCCCTCACACATATTGAATGAGATTTGTGTAGCGCATATGTATTTGGTGCCTCCTTGTACCAATATCTATCTGCTGAAATAAAATAATAAATAAATAAACGTTTTTCCTCTTGTGCTTCTTACTTCCATGTAACCTTGTAATTCGGAATATAATCTCTTTCCTGTTCAATCGTGTTCTGATTTGGGGACTTGTCGAGTGAATCGATGTCCGAGAATACTAAGCAATAGGAATAGCTGGGTCATAACCGTAAGCGAGAGATTATAACAATGGCGACGGGGAAAAAGGAAAACAAATTCAAGATGCCCATATCAGATGACCAGCTTAACCGAATACTACAACAACAGCAAGCACAACTTGGTGCACAAATGCGGTTGTTGGAGACTCTGACTTAACAGCTCAACATCCACAGCTCGAGTTCACATGTTATTTCAAGTACGTCTTGTGATGCAGTTGCTAGCAGCATCCCAGAGTTCATCTATGATCCCGAAAGTGGAAATACTTTTCTCACGTGGTTCAAGCGTTGGGAAGATACATTTAGAACAGAATTCTATAACCAAGACGACGCGTGGAAGACTCGATTGTTGGTACGTAAGTTGGGAAGCAATGAACATGCACGTTATACTGGCCATATATTGCCAAAGTTACCTCGAGAGCTCAGTTTCAAGGAGACGGCAACTCAATTGTCAGAGATATTCGGTGTGTCATCCTCATTGTTTAATATTCGATATCGGTGTCTAAATTTGGTGAAACGCGAAGCTGATGAATATGGTGTTCTAGCAGACATTGTCAACAGAGAATGTGAACGTTTCAAGTTACGCTCGTTGACTGATGACCAATTTAAATGCTTAATATTCATCAAAGCTCTTCAGTCACCACAAGATGCTGAGATCAGGACGAGACTTTTAGCTCGACTGGATCAAGACCCAAACGTCACACTCAGAACATTGACAGATGAGTGTAAGCGGCTACAAAGCATCAGACACGACAATGAGTTGGTTGAAGAGGTAAATCCTAATTTAACCTGCAGTGGTGTCAATGCTATTACTAGGTTAAAAGTTCAGGAGCCGATAACAACTCGCAACAAACCAACGACTGCATGCTGGTTATGTGGTGAGTGGCATTATGTACGATTCTGTCCATTTAAGAAGCATAAATATCAGGTGTGCAACAAACGTGGATATAAAGAAGGTCATTGTCCACCAAATCGTACGTCTCGGCCCAAGAAGAAGCGTAAGCGTCCTCGACACACCAGATCCTATGAATCTGCTCAAAGGGGAGGTGTTAGCGAGACATAGACTGGATTAAAGCATGCTCAATGCACGATTGCTTTAATGCGCGCTGATTAGCTAAGAATTAGCCAATCAGCACTAGTCGATACTTGGAGAATACTCTAGAATCTTCTCATGTAAAAACTACAAATATACTAACGTTTTTCCTATTGTGCTTCTTACTTCCATGTAACCTTGTAATTCGGAATATAATCTCTTTCCTGTTCAATTGTGTTCTGATTTGGGGACTTGTCGAGTGAATCGGTGTCCGAGAATACTAAGCAATAGGAATAGCTGGGTAATAATCGTAAGAGAGAGATTATAACAAAGTCTTTGTAAAAACCTGGACAATTAGAGGATAACATGGATTATAAACAGGTTTAAGTTGATCAGTTAGTCGTGGTTAAAGTAAATCATGGTACGTGTGTTAGCCTAACTTACTACACCAGATTACCACGAGATGAATTTTTAAAAATGAATGTCAAGGGAATCGAAATAATGTAGCATCAATGGTAATCGCAAAGACTAAACATTGGAGATATGATTCAAAAAGACACACTAAAGAAATATTGGGACTGAAGATCTAGGAAAAGAATAACTTGTGAATGCATCTGCCCCTTTGTGACTGATCTCGAGTCATGTTACTGAATGTTTTTCAACTGCTGATCGTGGTTATTACGCGGATCCAAACCAGGTAGTCCGGGTATCCCGAATGCTTGGGAACGAAAATCAATGACTTCATGAACTGATAACACAACCGTCAAAAATTACGAAATAATCCAGTCGCTTTATCCTGATAAATAAATAACTAGCAATGTGGACCAACATGACCTCATCAGTGACCAAATTCAAAATTGATGCACCTTGCTACAAACATACAGCTCACCACTAGACAACAGTCACGCAATTTAACGAGAAGTGACTGAAGTTGAGATTGTAAATTATTCAATGGTAACAAAATACAACATATTCGCTGAACGTTCTAAAAGTCCTGAATTCCACTCTCTTTTAGAGGGTTGTGGATGCATATCTCTGAGTAGCATATATTCAAACTAAACAGTCATTTATTAGGCCTTACCAGTGGTTTTACATAGCTATTTGTCATTCCGTGATATGAATTGCCTTCAAATACTTTCTAAAAAAAGCTACTACAACACAATTTTTAAATACATGGGACAAGAATTCAAACACAAAATCCACTAAAAGCAAAATATAAAATTAGTGAGAATAATTATATTGTTGAAAATAACAATTACAGTACAATTAAGTACACATGTACGTGCATATATACAGTTAACTTTAACCGCATAAAACTAAGTATTTACATCATTCGATGACGCTTCAACATTATTATAATAAGGAATAAGATTACAGACTGAATGTGTACGACAAATAACCGATACACGTCGTCCACGGTGTAAATTATATAAATCAATCGACTGTTCATTTCGTATTTTATCGACTTGTTCATTAGACAAAATAGCATGTGTTAATAAGTAGCGTAGTGCACCACGCATAATATACACGGACCGTCTAGGTATAAATATATCTATCCATGAACCAATCGGTGGTAAGTTTAGTGAATTTAAATAATCATACTGATCTTGAGGAACACCCACTACTTCACTTTGTGGAGCGACAGCTAAACGTAAAATTGAATCAGATAATAAACTTAGCACAGCGATTGACTCCCCACAGAACTGGAAATAAACAACATGAAAATTTTGAGTTCTACAGAGTTGAGTTATTACAAGGAAAAGACAACTAACCTAACATGCATGACACAGTCAACATGGTGACCCTGAGTGCCTTTACAGGAATGATGATGTTTGCCGCTTATTGGTTGGCCATACTGTGCAAGACCTCTTCTTTAGACAACTCAAAAATAAACCGAATAAGTTGAGGTCTTGACGATATAAAAGCGTGACCACAGGGACCAAAGGACAACTGTCTCATGATGATCACACTCCCGTACAGTCATCAGTATGACTTCGTTATCGGACCTCATGTTGCTACTTTTGTTCTTACACCTCTCAAAATAGCATGTCTGGGATCACACAAAAGAACAAGTACTTCGGCTAATTAAGCTCAACAAGGTCATCACGAAATATAACTCAGCCCACCAGATTGAAGTGGCAGATACGACTGATATTTCTAAGATAATCTAATGAGATGGAGTTTATCAGAAACCTATGTGATACATTAATGCAATACAATTTGAAAAACAATCTGACCATACATTAATTTAAAATACTGAATGAGAAAGAAAGCTAAAGCCAAACATATAGAAATGTATGGGTAAAAATGGCATCACAATATACTTTAACGCTATCCACATGCGCCATTATCTCCCCATTTTCAGCTAAATCCAAAACGTGAATTAATGGAAGTACTAATTGATCAATATTTGCAACATCTGATTCCATAGCCGTTGTTGATGCTGTTAAACCATTGCTTACAGTAGTTGATGCTTTCAATCGATTGATAACAAGCTGGTTGGTCGTTGAATGCCAACTTTTGCGTTCCAACTCACGAAAATTCTTAATAGCCTGGAAGAAATATAGAGAAAAAGAAATACCATTTCGGAGAATATACAAAGCTTGTGCAGGAATGCATAGAAAAATTATAGAAATCTCAATTTAAAATAGACTGACTGTTCAAGTAAGGTTTCAATGATAACGATATCATAGGACAAAACAAGTAATAAATAGTGTCTATATGTAATGCCTCTAAATGCCCTGGTACAACCGGGAGTGAGGAAAGCCAACTCTCATTCTCAATATGCTCCCACATGGCTACGCGTACATACCCACTGCCAGGAAGTCCTACTCAATACCTTCTTGCGGCAGGAGTGCTGTTAACGAAAATGACAGGACAATAAGCGAATATCTAGTGCTTTAACCTGGTTAGTGGATGTGTACGGTCGACCTAGGGGAGTTGGAAAACCCTGATTCCAAACCAATGGTGCACATCGACTCCAGGATCCTAAGGAAACAAACGACGTATGAACCAATTACTGGTCACCTGCTACCATGAGACTCCATCTCCTTACGTTGCTCCTCTGCCTTGTGGATTAGTCCTTGAGGTCAAACGTTCAGGGTGTCCTCCCAAAAAAAATTATGTTTTGTTTGGGCGCCCGGACAGCAACTCATCCCTCACACAAATTTCGTGGCAAAGTGTGGCGCATATATTTGGTGCCCCCATGTACCAATATTTATGTCTAAACAAAAAAATAAGGCAGGACTCTAATTTAAAGACGACCTTAGAACGAATCTTAAGTGACCTTGACAATTATTGGCCAATCAGAGGAAAGTTAGTATAAAGTGAAAATATATTATTTGAAAGTAATGAATTACAGTGGATATTCTCCTGTTACATGATTTAAAAACTTGTTAAGGTTTGATTAAGGTTCAGAGGTTCTGAATTCACAATGCATATGGAATAGAAACTCGTCTATTGGGTTAGGGTTAGGTTTACGGGTAAGGTTAGGGTTGATTGAGGGTTAAGGTTTAGGGTTAGGGTTAGGTGAGGATTTAGGGTAAGGTTTAGGGTTAGGGTTAGTTGAGGGTTAAGGTTTAGGGTTAGAGTTAGGTGAGGGTTAGGGTTATGATGCTAACATACGAATTTTTAAATCATGTCAAAGAATATCCGGCGAGACTCTAATTTAGGGACGAGCCAATCAGAAGCGTTTGAGCAATCTCAAGGTCACGGAGCCAAGTTCAACACGCGTTGCTAACATACGGTCGGTTCACAGCGGATTTTAGAGAGATGATTAATGAGAGGTTAAAACAGATGGGACGGCGAAACTCTAATTTAGGGACGAGCCAGTGAGAAGCGTTTGAGCAATTTCAATTATTAGCCAATCAGAAGACAGTATAAAGTAAAAATATATTACAAGAAAGTAATGAATTACAGTGGATATTCTTCTTTTACATGAGTTAAAAACATGTTGAGGTTTGATAAAGGCTCAGAAGTTCTGAATTCATAATGCATATTGTATAGAAACTCGTCCATAGGGTTAGGGTTTGGGGTTAAAATTAGGGTTAAGGGTTAGGTTAAGGTTAGGGTTAGATTAGGGTTTAGGGCTAAGGTTAGGGTTTAGGGTTAGATTAGGGTTTAGGGTTAGGTTAAGGTTAGATTAGGGTTTAGGGTTAGGTTAAGGTTAGGGTTTAGGTTTATGGTTAGGGTTAGATTAGGGTTTAGGGTTAAGGTTAGGGTTAGGTTAAGGTTTGGGTTAGGGTTAGATTAGGGTTAGGTTAAGGTTAGGGTAGGGTGCTAACATGCGATCGGTTTACATCGGATTTTAGAGAAGAGATGTCTATTGACAGGCTACAACCTTAACCACTAACACTATGGACGAGTTTCTATACAATATGCATTATGAATTGAGAGCCTCTGAACCTTCATCAAACCTTAACAAGTTTTTAAATCAT